GACGCTCTTCCGATCTCGTAGCAACTACTGTTCCCTCTACAACTTGAAAAACCACTCACACTACTTTTGTGATATGAAACGTCATTAGCGGCACAACAGGGCTGTCTTCATGGCCATAAATGAGGAATCCCATCTGCTTCAACCGTCGACGGAAATAACGTGAATTTCTGAGCAGTTGTACGGCTTTGCGAGCACCGATATCTGTTCCATCCTCGCCGCACATCACCTAAATAGCTGCAGCTGTCATGACACATTGTGATTTTGGTTCAGTATTGTGACCGGTAACTAGTTTAGTTGCTCTTTATGACTTAAGCGTGTCAATCTCTCTTTGTGAGTACACGGAAACGTAAGGACTGGTGTGCAGGAAGCGAACGCTGGTGTAAAATGATGAGGAGAATTAAGGTTTCAACCAACAAGACTGGGATGCGCGATTGAAGGCAGTGGGCGTGGTGGATGGGGGCGGCCGGTTACCGCTCACGTCATTGGTGAGAGAACTACGAGAAGAGGTTCGACTCACGCCTCTTTCAGCCCTCCCACCAATGATGGTGGCACTAATCGCCCGCCTCCAGCTATCGTGCCCACTGCCTTTAGTTCGGCTTCAACTCAGAACAGTCTGAACTTGTTCAACTATAATGAAGGATGGACGTTGGTTGGTGTGGAAGTGGGTATTTAGAACCTTGCAGAAAAAGTGTAGCACTAGGGAGCCGAAACATAAACTGTGATCGAGTGAGACCTGATTGGCAGAGCTGTGAGTGAGCTCTTACCACTCGAATTCTTTATAGGTTGCTGTATGTCATCGGAATGCTCCCGCCAACAATCCAGCTCGCACAACAGGCACTATCCATCTACTATAACCCCTGAAAACCGAAGGAAATTTGGAGATATTTTCGCTCAAAGTTTGCCTAAAGAGGATTCTCGGTGCCCTGATCACAAGCGTGACATTCATTCCTAGCGCTAACGCCATTTTAGCGCCACCGTTTTTCTCACCAAAATCGATATAAAATTGCATTCATATGAATCTGCAAAATGAGGTTTTTGAAGTTTCATTACGAATATACCCTTCGAATCAGAGCTGGCTTGGCTTCAACTCGCAGTGCTCTGAGCGTCTGCGTCTTCCTAGGCAGAGCCTGTGAGGAACAAGAACTCTTTCCTACTCCATTCCTCCTCCCCCCCCCCCCCCTCTCTCCCTCCCAAGCCTGAGCCTTTGCAGAGCGGTAAATAGCTAGCACTGAAAAACAAATGTCGTACTCTCGATCAGAAACCTCAACCAACGCCCGTTGCAAGCTTGTTACTTGAAGGTAAAAAAACAGTAGCATGGCGCCAGCGCCAAGAATCGAGGCTATAATCGTGTTCGAGATACCAAACAGCAGAGTTCATTGAGAAAGGTGGTAGCGCTAATTTTGCGCCGACGTCAGGAGCGGTTGTCATATTCGTGATCAGGTCACTGGACAACTCCTGAGGCAAAGTTTGAGCAGAAAAATGTCGGAGTTATTAGAGTTGTAATAATTAAATCG